GTCGGAGACAATCTTGACGAGCTCGGGGAAGTGCCACGAGTACCATTCGCGGACTCTCATGGAGAAGGTGTTGATGGCCTTGTCGAGCTGATCCAGGATGGCGATAGCCTGGATGATGTGGTTGTCGTCACGCTGGACGGAGAACTTTACCTTAGCACGTGAGTAAGCGTGACCGAGACCGAGCTGGGCGGTGTCCATGTCACCATCGCGCAGCTGCTTGAGAAGCTTGCTAGCGTGAAGACGGATACCACGGAGAAGATCCTGGACGACCTCGCTGGTATCACCAGTCTCACAGTCCACGAATGAGAAAGCGGACTTGATGCTTCCTGCCAGAGCCTTGTCGGCAAGACCCAGGACCACCTTCTTCTTCTTGTTCGGCTTGGGGAGGTTCAATTCAAGGAAAGAAACTAGAGTCTCGGATGCGACACCTTCGGAGATATCATTGATTTCTCCAAGAGCCTGCTTGTTGTTCCTACAATTTGTTAGTCGGCGATGAAAAATGAAAACCTTTTCATTTAGACTGAGAAAGCGTACTCGAAAGGCAGGAAACTCGAAAGCTCGACCATCTTGCCGAACTTAGCAAGGTCATTAACACCCTCCTGGACTTCCTTCAAGGAATTGCCGACAGAGTCACCCTGGTGGGCGACCTTGAAAAGTGAGTAACCCATAGGGCCCTCAAAAAGTAGGAAATCGGCCATCGTGTTAGCGCCAATCCAAGGTCAATCACAAGATAATGATAAAAACTTGTAACACCGGCCAGAAAACCTCGCAAAGTGCAATTTGATGGGTCTCTGGTGAGGTTGGCGACGGCTGGAAATGGACAATTTTTTTTTCTTGCCGCTAGTGCGAATCCTAAGGCACCGAACCGGAGGTGTGACGGTACGCATCGGAGTAGACGTTTACCCGGCCCGCTGATATAACCACGTGATCATATGGATGATTGAATGTGGGCTTTTTGGCCGCGGACCTAACGTGGAACAAGCGCTCTACCATCCCTTAATTTAATATTTTTGAGTTATTGGACGTGATACCCTGTCATTCATTACCTGGGAGATGTCTGCAACTCAACTACTTAACCCCAAGGCGGAGTCGAGGGTATGGAAAATATTCCCAGATGGCCCCTCAATGATATGCCCGCACACTAACATTTCACGCAGCGGAGAGGAGAGGCCTTGAAGGTGAACATCGGTGCCGGTGAAGGTCTTCAAGATGTTCTCAAGTCCAACCTGGGTCCTTCGGGAACTCTCAAGATGTGAGTTTCCTACGAATACACCTCATACAAAGGCGACGGAGCTGACAAAACTTAGGCTGGTTGATGGTGCAGGCGCAGTATGCAATCCCCAATTCCGCTCGATTGGCACGAAACATCCCTTTCCTAATACAGAGTTGCTACGATAGATCAAATTGACCAAGGATGGAAACGTTTTGTTGCGAGAGATGGTTCGTTCTGCCCCCCAAAATCACAGCACTTGGAGCTTCTGAGCTAACCTCTAACAGCAAATTCAAAACCCTACGGCTGTAAGATGGAATTACCTCGAAACTCTCCTACATGTTGCTGATGAAGTGGAAAGGTTATGATCGCTCGCGCTGCGACCGCACAAGATGATATTACCGGTGATGGAACAACATCTGTCGTTCTGCTGGTGGGAGAGCTTTTGAAGCAGGCGGAGCGTCACATCTCGGAGGGTCTGCACCCCCGTGTTATCACCGACGGCTACGAGATTGCTAAGACTGAGGCCTTGAAGGTATGTAATGGAGATTGAAAGTCAAAATCTGGAGATGGATTCTAACACATTACGCACAGTTCCTTGAAAACTTCAAGCTCGAGCGTTCTATTGACCGAGAGCTGTTGCTTTCTGTCGCCCGTACCTCCCTCTCCACCAAGCTTGGCGGTGCCCTCGCTGAGAAGCTTACCCCCGACATTGTTGATGCCGTGCTCGCTATCCACAAAGCCCCTGAGAAGCCCGATTTGCACATGGTTGAGATTATGACGATGCAGCACCGGTCGTCATCGGATACCCAGCTTATTCGTGGTCTTGCTTTGGACCACGGTGCCAGACACCCCGACATGCCCAAGCGGGTGGAGAACGCTTTCATTCTCACATTGAACGTCAGTCTGGAGTACGAAAAGTCCGAAATTAACTCCGGGTTCTACTACTCCAACGCCGAGCAGAGAGATAAGCTGGTTGAGAGTGAGCGCAAGTTCGTGGATGCGAAGCTGCAGAAGATTGTGGACCTCAAGAAGGAGGTTTGTGGAAACGACCCCAACAAGGGATTCGTTATCATCAACCAGAAGGGTATCGATCCCCTCAGCTTGGATGTTCTCGTTAAGAACGGCATTTTCGCTCTGCGAAGAGCCAAGCGCAGAAACATGGAGCGTTTGCAACTAGTCTGCGGTGGAACTGCTCAGAACAGTGTTGAGGATTTGTCTCCCGATGTTCTTGGGTGGGCTGGTCTGGTCTACGAGCACCAGCTTGGTGAGGAAAAGTTCACTTTTATTGAAGAGGTCAGGGATCCTAAGTCTGTGACTATCCTCATTAAGGGTCCTAATGGACACACCATCACCCAGGTTAAGGATGCCGTTCGTGATGGTCTGCGCTCAGTCTACAACACCATTGTCGATGGCTGCGTCATTCCCGGAGCTGGTGCATTCCAAGTTGCTTGTGCCGCACACCTGCAGTCCCAGGCCTTCACCAAGACCGTCAAGGGTAAGGCCAAGTGGGGTGTTGGTGCGTTCGCCGATGCCCTTCTGATCATTCCTAAAACTCTTGCTGCCAACTCAGGCCACGATATCCAGGATTCGCTGGCTGCTCTTCACGATGAGGCAATTGATGGTAACACTGTCGGTTTGGATCTGGTCACTGGCGAACCCATGGATCCCGTCCAAGCGGGTGTCTTCGATTCCTTCCGTGTTCTGCGCAACTGCATCGCTTCCAGCACGGGCATCGCATCTAACCTCCTTCTGTGCGATGAGCTACTGAAGGCTCGACAGATGGGTAAAGCCGGTGCCGGTGGGCCCGGTGGTCAGGAAGAGTAATGCACTTTCTCATTTACGAAGTCAGGCGGTTCATGTAAAGTTTAAAGGGTTAAAGACTTGATTCCCTCATAAAGTTGGGGGCAAGCTAATCTATTCAAAAATGCACACAAACTTCACGTTGCTTCTCATTGTCGTCGTTAAATGGAAATACAGTAATCAGCGCTATCGTACATAAACTGGGAACCTTCGAAGCTGTCTCGTCGGGATAATCAGTCTTCTTCTGAGGTAACGCTTTGGTCCCCATCAGATACATTCTCGGGGGGCCAGAGTCCCTCAAAGCCTTCTTCCCTGACTGGGTCGTCCAGGGAGAGATGGTGTGTCTGAGCCCACTCCCACACATCAGATTTGCAAATGGTGACCATTTGACCTGGTGGTGTGGTATTGTCCTCCACAGCTGTACGGGTAGATTTACGTTTTTTGGGGGTGGCTTGGGGTTCGAACAGCCCCATGCTCTTGAGTGCAGTAATCACGTCCTCGGTCAACATACCGGTTCCCAGGCCAAGTTCTTCAACGGTAATGGTCTCGCGCAAGGGTCTCTTGCGGGAGCCTTTAGGGGTTGAGCTGGGCTTCAGTTGGTCGGGTTCAAGGGAGCTGCTGCTAGGTTTGCCACGGAGTAAGAATCGGGCAATCCGTTCGGCCCAAAAGCGGACATAGCTTTTGTGGCCCAGCTCACTCAGCGGCTTCTCTGGTCCACCGATGCACCCACGATTGGAGTCCCACCCGCTGAGCTTGTAGCTGACCCCCATCAACAACTTCCCAAGCTGCTTGTGTTGATAAGGCGGGAAGATCAGAATGCAAGCAAGATTGTTCGCATCCCATGAGAGTTTCTCTTTTGAGAAGAACCCGAGCACGTAGTAACTGTCGGAGTCATCCGGGTCGGTGAAAGTGAGGATGTAGTACAGGAAGGTTGCGACATCGAAAAAGACTGTCTTGTGGTCGAGGAAGAGTTTCGCGAAAAGGGACAAATTCTGTCCGAAAAGTTTGTGGTTTTGCCCATCAACCTCCCACACTGCGTACCCGCCATGGTCGTAGACTTTCGTCCCTGGTGGGGTTATGCGATGCTCACAGGCGCGTTTGTGTTCCTCAAAGATATCCACGTCACATGAGTATCGAAAGCACCAGCGGCAGACGTAGAGTCGATCAGCATCCTTGGCGACGAGGTCTTCAGGGTAGATGGATTGGTTCCATGGCTTGAACAAGAGATCGCCCAATACGACGTTGTTCACGTTGCGATCGGCTGGAGTCTGCAATGGCGCAGACTTCGGGGTCGCCATCGATATCTATGGAGATTCGAGCGGCGCGACGTGATATCGAAGTTGTCGGAATGCTAGGTTTCGGGAGCGTTCATGCGATGTACCGTCTCCAATGGACCAGCCATTGGTAGTATCTTGGAAATGAGAGCTAGAGGTAGATGAAACGAGTGGACACGGTCGCGCAAAAGTTGGGCGACGTTATGTGGACATAATTCCCGAGGTCTCAATTAGTATTATTCGTCCATTCAATTGATTCAATGCAATTCAAGTCAGGGTTGACGCCTCAAAGTCCAGGCGGAAATAGAATGTCATGTGATCGGAGCGGGGATCCTCCAGAGAGCTTCATCATGCTCTCATGCTCTCATGCTCTCTTTATCCTGTTGCCTGAAACACCCCCATGTACTTTTTGGGGATTTCTTGAATTTCTTAAATCCCTTGTCCCATTCCTTGTATCTGGAAGATCCGAAACTCGAAAAAAAAAATTTGAAAGTGTTGCCACAGGCAGCAACATACATATTGAATCTCGTGATTTTTTTTTCCCGTTTAATACACTCCCCGTCTCGAAGCCCCAGAGGCATCATAATTCCAAACCATTTCATATCTTCAACTCTATCAACTCTAGTTTATCATTTCTTGGTTTTCTATTCTGTAACACCGCCCCACCTGTTTGTGTTCCCGATCCGCAGGGCTCACAGTGCATCTTCTCCACGATGTTGAAGCCCTTCCAAATCAGAAACCTTCGGGTATCCACTCAGCACCAACCAGAGCAGCTTGCGGATTCTCGTCCTTCTGCGGGAGTGGTCCAGATCTCTGCTACAGATTACGATGATTTAGCGTCGAACCATCCCCGCGCAAGGTTGACTTATATGGATGACGATGATGATGACGAAACAATCACCGTAAGTTTATAGCAATCTATCGGCTATCTATCATCAAAATCTCACCATTTCCCTTAGGTTGGATCCGCTCTCGAGCTTTCTCAGCGCCTTGAGGAGCCCCTAGACATTAATACACAGCTTGAATCCGTCGAGCTTTCTCCCGATGGCATCAGTCCGATGCACATATTTGATATTCGTCGATCAAACTCTGTGACCGAGTTGTGGAAACGGTTTGAGGACAACGTTCCAAAACAAGGCTCGGCCAGTGAGAAGAACGACACGCGAGCTCCTTCTAAGGCTACTGTCCTTGAAGAGCAACATGGAGTCACTGTTCCTCGTATTTCAACCCCGCCACTGATATCTGGGGACCAGCCTCGGCCTCTTATGGAAGCATTCGAGGCTGAGCTAGCAGAGATGCTCAATTCTTCTGAGTCCTCGGAGAGTAGAATACCTCAGCCTAACTCATCACCGACTAATGAGCCATCGGCCAACACAAACTCAGGGCGATCCCCTCATCCCGTTGAGATTTTAGCGGCACAGGTTCTAGACCAGCTGATCAACGGCGCTAGTATGGTACAATCTGAATGGAGAAACAAAATGCCTGAACTACAGCGGCAACTACAGAATGCTCAGAGACAATTTGAGGCTGCACAGAGATCTCTGCCTGAGAACGTGGAGGCGTCATTGCGGACACTACTCGCCACTGTTGAGGCTCACCTAAGAACCGCTTTTAATAATCTTCCAGATGGCGGAAGGCAAATGGCAGAAGATGCCTTCCAAGCAGGAAGACCTGTCGCTGAAAATGCCGCTGATGGCTTTCGTATGATGGCCTCCGAACTTAACGAGGTCGGAAGGACACTATTTGCCGCATTTGAGAACGAGTTTGGTCGTGCTGGGTCAACAGCCCCTACAGCGACCTCAACTTCTGAGGCGCCAAACCCTAGAGCATCCGAGCCGTTCTTCAACACTACTGCAAGAAATGAAGCTGCGGCTCCGGCCACTCTGTATCCCCAGAGCTCAGGCCCGACAGCCAGAAATGAGAAATCCACAGCAGACCCAGGCCAATCGAACCCATCTAATGCTGCACAAGCAGGAGTGCCCCCCATCCAAAGTCGTCCTGGTCAACCCACATCTGCTCGCCCAAATCATTGGGCGCCTCCGACATGGCCTGCTCCGTTTTGGAATCCATTCAACACTTATAACGCACCCCCGCCTCCCTGTCCTCCTCCACCGTCGGCATCGCTGCCGAATTTCGCTTACTGGCCCCAAGGGCCACCTGCGCCTCCTCCTCCTCCTCCTCCTCCTCCTCCGCCTCCTCCTGCATTCAATCGCCCGTTGAATGCTACACAAACATCACAAGTCAAGCCTACAGAATCGAAGAACAGTTCAGCAACTAAATCTTTGTTCATTGGCAATGTTGGTTTCAAGGTTACCGACAAGATGATACAGGATGTGTTTGCTGCCAAGGGATTCCTTGTCAAGGTGGATCTCCCACTAGATACCGCATCAGGAAGACATGCAGGCTTTGGCTATGTGAACTTCCCCTCGGATTATCCGGCTTTCGCTGCAATGGAGGCATTGCAAGGTGCTGTCATTGACGGTCACTCGATAAACCTTGAGCCTATGTATCATCCCCCCATCGAAAGTGTGCGTTCGGCACAGATTTCACCCAATGCCAGTACAACCACACGCAATACTCAGACAGACCGCCCTCTGGCTGACACGAGCGGTGTAAACAATGCTCCATCTGAGCGAGATCCATCTGAACGAGACAGCACCATATCGACGCCGTTTGCGTCCCCGCTTGCTGTCAAGCTACAAAAGAGTCCATCCAAGCCTGGCAGTACGGATAATCGGAGAAAGTCTGTCAGTTTTGTAGATCTCACGCGAAATGTTGATCATGATCAACCTCAGACGGAATTCTCCGCACTACTTGACTCTCCAAGCGACGACCCTGCATTCAGCGCACGTTTTCCCTCGCTTTTACCCGAGACGAGCGCGCAGCATAACGATCTATTGAGTGGACAAAGTGTTTCCTCGTATTCGCATACGGAGTCTCGTTTCCCACCTGTGTCTCAATGGGAGGCCCAACTTCTTGCAAACCAGTCGCCGGTTGTTGATGCCAGGCGACCTTCCGACCATAGCAAAGCAGTGCGGGATCAAATCGGCCATTCTTCCGGTGCCAAGGAGACTGCGCGCCCAGCGATAGATCTCAATGACCAGTATGCGGCCAAATTGAAACGTCGAGCCACCGAGCAAGAAACTCATAAACCAACTCATCGGCACGCTGCACAAACTGGCCGTCGTCATTCCTGAAGCATTCCGCAAGTATGCGCAATCTTGGTGATAGATCGCGTGGCCCTGCCGAAACAGACACGTGGGCTCGGCTGTCTAGACGAGAACGAAATGCTGCATCTTCTCGCGAGCAAATCCCCGGAAGCTTCCCGGTGGAAGATACGGTGACGGCCGAGCTCTCTCATACTCTTGATGACAATGTTCCTGAGACTGATGATGCGGCGATCGAACGATGTGTCTCTGCTCTTGTCGATATGGGGTACGGGGCTGGACAAGAAGGTGGACGGTCAAGAATGGCTGTATATGCAGCTATGGCAAATGGTGTCCTCATGGATGCGATTGATATGATTGAAGAGGAAAGATTGATCTATGAACGACGGCCTTCGCAGTGAGGCATGGAATACTTGCTTGCTTTTTTTTTGTTCGGGTCATATAGTGACCCAGCCATTCCTTCGGCTACAGTTTAGCTTGACCAGAACTCTTGCAGCGTTATTTACTCTAGGTAATTTTGAAATCTTACTTTTTGCTGTAATGACTTCAAATGTTGCTAGGCCAATTATCCATGGATGTTTCGAACCCTCAGTATACTATATATCGCACAAGGAGTTAGAATATCCACCTTCGTCAAAAGAGAGTGTACAAATATATTGGCCCGTTATATATAAACTGTTGCATGAAGACTCCCGAGGTCGGCAACATTCATAGCTAGTCAGCAATATAACTGCCCTTGTGGCCCTCGGGACACAAATTCGATTCCCAAAAGAAAAAGAAAAAAAATCTTGAAGCCAACGCAACATTTAGTGCTATAAATACAATCAATGTCCTCTAATAATGTACATACCTGTAGGTAGTAAATGCTGAGAATGCTAATCGGACCGACATCAACGCCGATAAGTTTCCTGGCCGCAATCTCCGAACTCCCCGATCATCCAACCCACAGCACCTTCAGCAATGCAGATATGGCGGCGGACCTTCGCCACATCTGTGGGCAGACTTACCCATAGCTCAATTAATTCCCGCCCCTCTATCGTGCGATGCGCGCAGATCCTCCAAGCTAGCAAGAACGGTGGGGTCTGCTGTTTCGAGGACCAAGAAGTCAAAGTGAATGGGTTCATTCGCTCTGTACGGAAACAGAAACGCTTTGCGTTCGCAGAAATATCAGATGGCTCGACCGTGGAGCCATTACAGGCAATTCTGAAGCCCGCGCAAGCAGCAGAGTATGCTCGACCGCGTGACCTGTGGTCCTCGACCTGTTTGTCCATGAAGACTAACTCGAACGCTTTTTCTCTAGTCTGTCAACTGGAACTGCGATTGAAATATCGGGCATATGGAAAGCTTGCCCACCGGGCAAAGAGCAAACTCATGAGCTCCAAACAAGCAATGTTAAGGTTGTAGGCGCATCGGACGCAGAGGTAAGTCCAAGACCTTTTTCCCACCTGTCGCAAACCTCACACTAACCACGATATCCTATGGCTGCAGACGTTTCCGATCCAGAAGAAGTACCACAGCCCCGACTTCCTGCGTCAAATCCCACACCTTCGCATTCGAACGCCCTTCAATTCTCTCCTTTCGCGCTTCCGATCCGAGTGCATGTTCCAACTTGGCAATGTCTTTCACTCTCATCCGGACGGAGCTTTCACACAAGTTCAGCCTCCTCTTATAACGTCCTCGGATTGTGAAGGCGCAGGTGAAACTTTTACACTGACACCGCGCGGTGCTGCAACACCCACCACCGAGAACGAGCATTTCTTCCGAGCGCCAAAATACCTCACAGTATCGTCGCAGCTTCACCTTGAAGCGTATGCGGCAGAGCTGGGCAACGTCTGGACATTGACACCAGTGTTCCGGGCAGAGAAGAGCGATACACCACGCCACCTCAGCGAGTTCTACATGCTAGAAGCCGAGGTCAATTTCATGTCCGATCTTGACTCGCTTACTGGCTTAGTCGAACATCTGCTACGCGATCTGACGCGTCGTCTATATGATACTCCTGTGGGCCAAGAGATCTTGTCGGCAAAGCGGTCTGGCGAGCCAGGCCAGGAAGCTAGCGAGGAGACGGGATCTCTACGGAAAAGATGGACTGATCTAATGGATGGACCAAAATGGCACCGCATCACATATACCCAAGCAGTGGAGATGCTCCAGCGTGCTGTCACCGAAGACGGAGCATCATTTGAGCATTCCCCGACATGGAACGGAGGTCTACAACTTGAGCATGAAAAGTATATCGTCGAGGTGCTCCATCAAGGACGTCCCGTCTTTGTGACGGACTACCCTAAATCCGTCAAACCGTTCTATATGGCCCCTTCACAGACCGCCGACGGCAGCAACACGCCTGGGGAGACAGTGGCATGTTTCGACCTGCTCCTCCCTGAAGTCAGCGAAGTCGCTGGGGGCTCCCTGCGCGAGCATCGCCTGCCCAATCTCATTCAGAACATGCGGGAGCACGGGATGATCAAGCCCCGACAGATTCCCGAGTCTGGTGATCCAGCTTCAGGCGAATCGCTATATCCTCATCTCACCCCCGACGAGGACCTGAGCCACCTCCAATGGTATGCTGACCTCCGACGCTGGGGCTCTGCTCCCCATGGAGGCTTTGGGCTCGGATTTGATCGATTCCTGGGATATTTGACTGGTGTCTCCAGCGTTCGGGATATCGTATCCTTCCCGCGGTACTTCGGTCGCGCTGATTGCTGATACTTATCAGAGGTATCACTTGGCCAGTGTATGATAGATCTGTAATATAATATGCATGAAAACTAAATATTTGAATAGGGATATATTTGAAAACAACCCAACCTTAAGCACAATTAGCTGATCTACTGTGTAACTCATAACTGGGGCTGGACTTGCTCCATCGACAATACTAAAAACCCGAAGTAGTGGGCTCTGTACTCCGTATCAAACGGGGAGTTATACTATATTCTCAACAAGCTAGGAACAAAGTCGCCGATTGATTCCCGAATAGGACAAAAGATAGGAGCGAGTTATCCGCAGACATCCGTATAACGGAGCCTCCGCGGCACTATGCCCCCAAATTTGACTAGTGGAAATACAAGTCTCTTACCATCTGAAGCTAAAAAAAAGAGCCTGTACATATGTACTCCGTAGGTATGCTTGTAGGTATGCTTGTAGGTACTCACCGGTAGTGCCCGGCTCAGCTTACTTTGTATATTGTATTATTCTCCTTTAACATCACACAATTATTAGGCCCCCAAAGTCAACATTTATAAAAATATGTACTACATGGGCACCTTCAGGGCTTATGTACTCTATGACTAACAGACCAAGGCAACAGAAAAGAGGAAATGACTGGCAACTAAATTCCCATCTTCATATGGAATACGGAGGATTCCGTAGACCGTCGGATTATAAGAGGCTACGGATATATAGAGCTTATTGATTTACCCGCTTTGCCTATCTTGTTTGCTAGTCCGAGATGCTAATTTTAAATAATGATCTCGCAGAGCTCAAGAGAAATGATCGGATAATCGGCCGAAAAAGAAGACGGTGACTGGGTCGAACTAGCTAATCCTTTTCCATTATTGGATTTGGCCCCTGTCCACGAATCAGCCAAGTAATAATCCTTGACAGTTGGCCGAAGAAGCCAGAACGAAGCGCAAAACGCTAAGAATCCGAAGGAATGCTACGGAGTTAGAGAGAAAATACTACTTCCGGCACCAGTGCCTTCATACCAGACAGGGGATCGGACGTCATTATATGATATCAAAAGATGATGACACCTGTCTGAACGCAGGGTTGGATTTACGTATGCTTACTCCACACTCCGTACTTTGGATATCTGTGTCCGAAGACAGGGCTGAGAATCGAAGGAACCAGGAGTTAGCCTAGAGGAACTAGAGTGCAAAAATTATATGTTGAACGGCGTTAACAAGCACCAAGCACTGCACGGACGAAAGGAATGGGTGCTCGGATTTAACTTGGCGACCGAAGGAATAAAATTAAGGCACAGATCTTGCTGCATTAGCAGAGCGCCAGGCGTAGACGATCGTTTCACGATAAGAGTAGCTCTATATTGTATGGAGTAGACCGGACGTTTTTGTACATGCATACATACAACAGTATACAACATGGCTGGGGTAGCATATTGGCGTATAACTCAACCCGTATACGGAAGACATGTACTCCGTACGGCAGATCTTATCCCTGATTTTATGCACCGGAGGTCCGGACCCCAAGCAAAGCCAAGCACTATAGTCTGGAAACGAGGCGTCCCACAGACCAAATGTAAAAAAATGGGGCGTCGGTGGCACTAGCCCTTGGGGCAGTACGTAGGACGATCATGATTGCTGGAAAAGTAGATACATCGGAACCCTAATTCGGAAACAGGACAGCGAGGCGGCTGTGGTCAACGGCAATGGAATTCAAGGACGATTGAGGTCTCGGCGTACCTGATTAGGAGAAAACGTGGTCCGCCGAGTGGATTTGGAGTATGAGTTACCTTATTTCGGACCTCGCTTATTTACGCCGAGCATTCTAGTTTTGGTTTAGATTCTATAGACTTTGTATTGCCACTTGTCCGTAAGAATTATTATTGTAAGAGGCAATGTTTATATGGTTAATATAAAAAAGATCAACATGGGATTAGAATTGTATGGGAAAGATGAGTACAGCCTCATAGAAACTTTGAAGGAAGCACACAGCCTTGAATTAATATATTTGACTTTTGACAAAGTGAGCACGACTTCCTTGCCAATAAGGGGGCCAGGATCAGCAGGCCAAGGGCCCCCAACCTTACCAGGGTTAAGCATAAGCAAAAAGAAGTTCGGGCAGTACGAGTTGTACGAGTCATGCAGCAGGGCATCCCTGCCTGACGTATCACATTGCAGATAGCCTACAGGAGGAAGATGTGATTTGCAATCATAATCGTCACGCAGGAATATCCAACTATTTTAGTATGCACGGGTAGGGTACGGAGTAATTGATCCGTAATTGATAATCCAGGATGATTACTACCTAGGATGTTAAGGTTACACCTTCCAAGACTAAGACAATATTACATAGTTCAAACACATCAATCTTCGTATTCGGCTCCAGAAACTCCCCGAGAAGAATAATGCATTCCGCCACATGGTTTATGTAAGATGGGGTCAAAGCAAATTCGAACCTTGGAAATGTCTAGGTAAAGTAAAGTAAAGTTAAGTAAAATAAAGGTACGGAATAAACGTTAACCATAAACCTGCAGCCAGAGTTTCCATGGTTCGCAAGGGGAAACTGGATTTTAGACTTCGATGACATTGCCCCCCCTCCAGACAGCCAGAACTTTAACCACTCAAAGTTGGCATAATCTTGGCATTCATAAAGTCTTGGCCCCAAGATTACCTGGGTTGTTTCTTGCCATTTTTGGGTAGGCACCAGCATTTGTCGGTGCACTGCCTTTTCTTGGACCGCTATGGAGTATGATGTGTTGAATATGTTAGTTAAAAAGTCAATATTACATACAAACATTGGACCAGAATAAAATGAAACCCTTTGACCCTATGCAATGAAACATACTCCATAACCATAATACTGTAAACGAGAATTATAATAAAATTAAAATAAAATAAATGGTAAAAAAGAAAAGTAATTCCAAGCCTTTTAGCCATTCCAGCACATTCCCTATTCATCTAGACAATGGATACCTTAATTATGCTAGTGGAGATAAGCTCGTGTGACGTTTCACAAAATTAATTCTTGGCAACCTTTAATTCCAGGGTTGCAATGAATGCATGACAATACAAAAAGCATTAGTCGCATGTCATTTTCCATTCTGTTACGGGTTCTTTGATGTAAGCTGGCTTATATTCGGTTGCTCTGGTCTATGACTGGAGGAATCAAACTCAAATATCTTGGCTGGCTTGGGGCTCTTGTTTATCACGTTAGGCCGCCCGTGTCGGATCATCGATCGGAGATTATTCTTGAAAGCAAATGCTGTGTAGCGGAGTTACACCCTCAGCTAACCGCGTGCATCAACAATCCGAAGGTAGCCCGAGACCATTAATAATAGATTAGCAGCTAACGAATACAGTTGCAAAAGGCCCACACAACCCACGGTCGGCGAAACAGTCGGTTTATTCCGCAAGGGTACTCTATCAGCAGGTGAGATATAGTTAGCGAGATGTGGAGCTGGACCCACTCCAAAAAAGGAGTCTTCGGGTAACCGGATAGACCTTAAGAGAATACGAAATTCACGATATTGTTTTTCTATATTAAAGTTAAGTATATGGTTACCGAGGTATATCTCTTTGATTAGAAACCTCCGAATCAGGGCATTGGTGTTACTATGCCTTAGATGTGGGTAAATTAGGGGACGACTATACATATGTCCTAATAAGCTGGAGATGATTTTCCGCCCGGGGCAAATGAGAGATACCGCACTATCCTAATATAGCAAGACTTGCGGGATTACAGTTGGTAATGGTGGACTCAGGCGATCTCCAGAATTAAAAATTCGGTCGGGGCCTGAGCTTCTACGCTATTATGAAGCGATTGTACTTTATACATGCTTAGATGCTTTCGGAAAGGGAATACCTGTGGTGATCTGTGCTCTTGTTGCTTGTTCCTATCATGTTGATTAGAAGATAACCAAGGCAGAGCCAATATTGAGATAAAAATGTAACGATACCAGCTTCCTTTTTGGACATTATAATGATCAGCTGCGTCGGTCTGATTGAAACTTGGGCCCTGCTAGTTAACCTCAATTACTGCCCAGTAGCCTATCATTAACCGTTAAACAATTTTGCCTGTGGCAGCACAAGAACACAGCATAATTGTACGGAGTATTAGTCTGCTAATCCTTATAGCTTGCATGTTAAATCATACGCACTACACTATATCTTCCATACCTTGGTCACCCAAGCCTTATTTCTTATTCCATCGAACCTAGAGCAAGGAAGCAGTGCGACCTTGCACACTCCATAGACCTGGTAGATGGAAAACCGGGTCACGACGGTGATGATCTAGTCACACAGGACGGCGCCATGTGAGACATGTAATGCAGGCGATACAATGTATGTGTGAAGTACGCTGACACCATCGGCTCGTGCCATGCTCTTTTGTTGAAATAAACACATGGACCCCCTAGGCTTCTAAATTCCAAATCCGAATCAGGGCTGAGCCAAGGAGAAAATCAGCTGCCAAGCTTAAACAGCTCCCCCGAACCATATTAGAGTGATCCTTGTGCAACGGGGGATTTCGTTGGCGATACGCTTCCACTGGCTTGCATGATTTGGCCCGTGCGTGACATATTGAATCAGAATAAAGTTATAGCACAAAGGTCAAATGTTCATAGATGGCTAGGAAGAAATGAGGAGTATTTCTGCAAAAATATGAATATGGCAGGCATTTCCGAATGTTTCTGCTACCTTTCGCGCCTTATGCGATGTACGGGGGTCCGCTATTGGATCTAGAACGTTGAGGCCCTGTCCACCTGCAAGGCTAATTACATACAAGGCTAACTGCATGGTGAACATGAACGGCACGGAGCGCAGACTCGGACCAGCTAACCTTATCGCTGAGTCAAGGTGTCAGCGGACATGATTCATCGAATCATGTTTTGGCCGACCGCTTGTTAGTTTGATAGCTTGACGAATCATGTCAGTTTCGCAGTTATTATTTATTGGTATTCTCGAACACGAGCGATGTAAGTCAGATGCGAAGCAGTGCACTTCCAACGAATACATAGCCCAGGATGGAGTATAGCTGGCAGTAACCCGCCCTATGCTTGCGCATGGCGATCCTGTTACGTGGCTTCCTATTTAGCTCTTGCCGTGCATCATTTTACGCGCGCAAACAATGTACGTACTTCAACGGGATTGAAACCTAGAGATTTCTTGTCTTATCCACAATACCCCGTATGGAGTATGTATGTGCATTGCATTCTTTGGTTCATGTGTTCTTTTAATTGCATCATTGCTTTGATCCGGGCTAGGACCTTGTCAAGCTTTATGGTCAGCGCAGTAAAAATCAAAACACCGTGTCACTGGACCTAATACGAGTACGAGTCACGAGGCTGTGGCCACAGTGGCTTCTTTTTATCATTTTTAACCTATGAGATATCGGATATCGGATATAAATTAAAAATACTCCGGGGCCAGATTCGCTAAGATCAACCTTGTTTGGATGTGACTCGTATGAGACTTGCCCGCCAAGGGATAGGGTGCTGGATAAACATCGGACAGAACCGCCCAAACCCTGTTTGGGCTATTATTAATCAATGGGGGATCCTCGGTCGCATTGAGTGCTAAATCTCGATAGTCAAGTGGGTTTGTTTCTTTTCCTTGGTAGGGACATTCTTACCTAAGAATGGCAACCACTGGGAGTGAGGCTTTCAGTACGAAGTCCGATTGGATGTCCGAAAGGTAATATGTGTGTTTGACTACGTTGTCTATGCCTGAAGGATAACCCCAAGATTTCACTACAATATAGAATTGAAGCCCCCTTTTGCCAAGAATAAAAATAAACCAAAGTGGAGGGGTGTCTCTAAGCGAGCATAAAGTTCAGCGCCGGCCTCCTCGTGTTGGATTAAGCTTAAGAGTTCGCACTAACCTTTTTTTGCGACCAGAGCGCCACTTTTCTGACACAGACCATTTTATGTATGCCTTTTTTTTTTTAAAAAAAAAAAAAGTTTTTAAATTTTTTTTTTCCTAGTAATGATTTTTGTTTACACATTATTACCATACAGAGTACGGAGTAGATTATACTCTATCTATTATTAATGCTGATCCTTTATTCCATCCTTTTAGTTTAATCTATCACCAGGAATGGGGCTTTGGAAGGGGCCAAATTAACCTTGGTGCTTTCCAAGGGTTTTCAAACCCCGTAAAGCCGAGCCAAGAGAACATGGAATTAACTAGCCAATCCGGAAAACTGTTTCACCCCCCGTAACAGGAGAATTGAAATCTAAATTCCATATAGTATTTGGGTAGGCTCACATGAAATACCTAGGTATCCATGGATCAAATGACGTGATTATATGGTTAATTTTTTTGCATATGTACACATAAATTACCTAGGCTACACAATATTGAAGCCTTTGTACCCATAGCCGTGCCACTTTCAGCCCCATGTCGAGACTCATCTCCTTTCCCAAGGTTCCCATGCATAAATAGTTCGAGTGGATTTCAAAGAGATTCATTATTCTGTGTATTACCGAACCTAGGTAATAAGATAAAGTAAATTAATAAATTAATAATTCTCTCATTCTTGGAAGCTCGGCGTTTAACAAGTTCCGTTCGATCTTTTCGCTTGGATCGCTTGGCCCGCTCTTCTTCTCTCCGCTTCCCTTATTTAACCTTCTTTTTATGATTTCTTCATTGTTTCTTATAAAGCTTTTTGGATTTAATTGAAAGATCTTTCCTTTTTTTTTTTCCCCCTTTCTCTCTCTTTTTACCCCCTCTTATTCTTCCAGCTTTCTCTATTTCTCCCTTTTTTATTTCCAAAAAGTTCCCGAGACAGGAACAGCTAAGCCATTCCTTCATAAACCTTGTGGAGTCATAAAGTAGGTCCCCCACTATCTGTCTCTTTGTGTCTTTTCAGCCTTGGCTCTCTCCCTTGTCTATTCGGCATCCTTACGCCTTCCAGCCCACTTGGCCCACATCAATCTCTGCAGTTCTCTTTTCCTCTTCCATTTTAGGACAAAGTCTTGAATCAGTCAAAAAAGGAAAAAAAAGAGAAAAAGGAAAAAAAAAAAAAAAAAGGCCGGTCTAACCGTCTTGGGTGACGTAAAAGCTCGGCCTTTACCAACCCACGCCGACATACCCCATACTGACTCGGATCCTGGTTCCTTTTATATTTGGACCTGAACCCTATTTTCTTCCTCTCCACTTGCGCCTCTTTTCTTTTCCCTTAGATCTAACTCCCTCTTCAGACATCTTTCGTACTCCTTTTAAAAAACCCCCCCTTCTATCCTTCAACCTGGCAATCAGACCTAATCAACCGGGTTGGGTTGACTCAAGAGCTTGGATGGAGACGTATTACGGGCACGTTCGCACACCTGCGGACGCTATTATTCTTTTTGAGGCTTGCCGTATCGGCCTTTTACCTCGCGTGCAAAGACGATTATCAGAGAAAGAGCGACAATCAATCCGTTCCGGTTCGGTCTTTGTATGGGATGAGCGAGAAGCGGGTATGCGGCGATGGACCGATGGGAAGTCATGGAGCGCCAGCCGTGTGTCTGGTAGCTTTTTGACGTATCGTGAAATGGAAGGCAAGCGCGGAGGTGGTAGCGTCTCTCAGGGTTCTGCGTCCCGAGGAGGTAAAACGCCTGAGAGTCGGGGCAGTGACGATGACCGCGCGGATGGAACAGATGAGGGACCAGATGGATACCGTTACAAACCAGATGGCTTGATGAAGCAGTCTTTCAGTATCACAACATCCAACGGTCAACATCTGCATCTCATTAGCTACTATTCACGGTCCCACCCTTCGGCCGCTAACTTACAACAACCAACTACGGATCCTGCGCTGCGCCATGTTCGCCCCCAGAAAGGTCTCTATCCCGAGTCAACAGTCAACGATCAGCAAAACCTCCCTGTCGTTACCCGTGGACCTATGCAAGGCGCTGCCTACCCCATAACTCCCCATCCTCTCGGCGCATACCCGCGCGTCACTCATACACAGCCATACCCACCTGCCTATGCTTGGCCGCCCACCCCTCTAGCCACACCACCGACTGTCTCGGTTCAGTACGGCCCTGGTCCTTCTTATCTGCCCCCGGTAGGTGCCAATGGACATCCTCATTATGGCCCGCCACATCATCAGCCTCCACATCATCAACATGGTGGTGCACTCCCACCCCCTCCACACGGGATGACAAGTCCGTATGATCGACCACCTCACATTGAATCAACATTGCCTCCAGCTGGACCACCGACACAACAACCAAGCTACATGAACCGGTCACCGCGCTCAATACACGACCATGCTCAAGCCCACGCCCATGCTCATGCTCAGGCTCAGGCTCAAGCTCAGGCTCAGGCACAGGCCCATGCTCACGAGCAACGCACCCCGCCTGTCTACGGGCATACTTTAGTTGACCCTCGCATGGCATCACCGCGCGTGCCAGTCCAGTCCCTGGCGCAGCCAAATGGCCACGCGCACAGCCCTCATCTGGCGAAGCAGGAGCATCCCGCCGCGCTGCCCTCTCTTAACCCCATCGCCGCATCACCAAAGTCTTCCGATCCCACGAGCGCTGGAAATGCAGTTCCTGGCATTGGCTCATTAATGAACGGTGCAGGGCTGGCCCCTCTTTCCTCATCGACTGCCTCTCCCGGTGGCCCCGCCGCGAGCTCGAACGGAACCCCCGCCGCGTGCTCTTTCGCTGAGGGTCCACGGGATATCCCTAACGAGAAGATCGGATTCGGAGGCGAGGACACGAGGGCACTGCGCCAGCTGGATCGCGCCTTCATTGCATGAAGCGTTCGATGAAGTGGTCATCTGATGCATCCACTCTGCCGATGAAAACAGAAAGAGAAAAAAAAGAAAGAAAGAAAGAAGAAAAAAAAAATTCACACCCGAACACCCATTTCACATGGTTGATGCCCAGCTTAACCTCACACTTTGTCTTCGTGTCTATGTTTCTTTACTCACTGCGGCTTCCTCTGGAGGAGAGTCTTGTTCCTGTTGCTGTTTCAGTGATATCCTTTTTGTTCTATCTTTGTATTTGTCACTATTAGCATCTTGCATGGGTTGGGGCCATTCGAATTCTTGTTTTTCATATGTGATCGGGTCATGGCTACAGGTTCAATGGAACCTTTTCATATTATGCATTGGGATCGGTCTACACGGTTGGGATACGGCTTTTTCTAAAGGGGCTCCTTATGTCTTGTCAATTGACTTGTTTCTCTCCGTCTATAAGACTTGCATTGTGCTCTTTCGTACACTTAAATGCATCGCTGTGTAGGAAAAAGACATCGTAAGCACCTCAGAACTGGCTTGGAGATCCGTCGTTGGTACTCTTTGCTTTCACGTCGCGAGCTTTTGCCCATATAGGCAGCAGAGTTCTGCATGTTTGATTTTCTTGCAGGTAGGCATGAATGATAATCAACCTTGACAATGTCGACTGAAGCTATGAGGTCCAAATGAGCTGACAACTCCTCAAATTCCCACTCTCCAGGGCTAGTACTTACCCTCGGGTGTATCTAGGCAATGGAAGTGAGAAAGTGATATTCAAGACCAATAATGGTTCCATTGCCGATTAATGTCACCATCGTATTCTGTTGATCAAAGTGTCCCTTCCAAAGCGAAGAAAAGCGAGGTACGATGGTGACTCATAGTCTTCCCATTTCTGACCCTCTGTCAATCTTATGAATGGCTGTCCTGCTTCGCGGACCATGCAGCTCCTTATTTCGAATCGTTAGACCAATCCATGCAAGAGTAGAGAACCACCCCCGTCATACTCTTACGTTGTTGGCGACCTGAACCAACCCTGGAATGCTCTTTGGGGGAACAGGGTAATTGCCGATCTTCCATTAGTTCGACTTTGCGAGCTGTGATATTGGTCCCAAAACATCCGGTATGGAATCGTTACGAGCTTTCCCCAGGGTTTTTCCCAGGTCGGGTATTTGCATAACATGCAAAGACAGCTTTACCGAACCCTATTTCGCAGATCAACTACCTTGGCACAGAGAAATACGAAGTTCTGATCTGTCATTTCGATGGCACCAATCCTTCGAAAGAGTCCGCAGAACTCCAAAACTCTGTTCCGCGGCACTTTCTTTTGCTTGGAATTCTGTCTGACCTATTCTAGGGTCTATTCCCAGGAGGTATGTGATGGTTGCACCGAACCCACCAAACTATAACGCGCCCTGATGATTATGGCAGATCAACGCTGAAAGGAGTTCTCTAGCGTACGTTGCGTAGCCTTTCCCAATCTGAAATAAGGGTAGGTTTGACTTTGACTGGTACGTCCACGACGATCTCTGTTGATCAACTAGTGAATTATCTGCATGATCCATTGGTCTGTCACTTCAGTCCTTCGCGTCACCATCGAACTGGATTAACATGGAAGACCTACTAAGTGAGTGCTGTGCTCATTTTACTTTATTCTCTGGCGATCTTACTCATTCGTTCTGGACAACGAGTATCGGATCAGCATCCATGATATGTCTGGTTCTAGAAGTCTCTTGATGTTTACTTCGTGGATACATGGGAATGGTTCAACTGCGGTTTCCAAACGGAAGCAGATTCTTTTAGTTGAGAATGGCACCGTCTGGATTTATACGACTCTCAAATGTCCACTATGAGCGGTATATGGCATCGGGAACGACGGTCACTACGCCCTAGGTGTTCATTTCAAATAGAGACCGAGTCAAAACGGGATAAGTCTGGGTATGATGTTTATTTTGGGACACTAACGAAAACCACCTCGATCCAATTGCCCTAGGTACAACAAAATTCTCCGGAGATATAGTTTTGTGCCAGGAATGTGCTACATCCTTACATTGGAGAGGAGATGAACTAGGGCAACGCGGTTGCCATTAATATCTTTGCTGATCAATCCAGGTTTCTGCTGGGCCTACCGCTAAGCCTTTATCTCGAAGGCGACTTTGAGAAACCGAAGGAACAGGTGACCTGGCTGGCAAAAGAACCAAACAATATGAGTTTCAGTCCGGTTGATCGACTTCGACAACGTGATTATGAAGGAAAAGCCAGAAAGACGACGGCCTTGTGCTGTCCCTTGCGACATAGGTATGCATTTTGTTTATACCTCCTTATCTCCAATTCAAGGAAATAGACCTTCAGAATGTACTGCCATCCGTTAGAATGTCGAGTTTATACAGTACTGTCGTGATCGTACCGATAGAGCACATAAGCTCGGTCTTTAGTCTCACGACTAGCATGAGAAGCCCGACAGCTGTGGAATATTTTGATCCCCTGCATGACTTTCAAGAGTACTACGAGATCGTCCTCCGCAAACCCGTAAGAAGTTATTCAAGTTACGCACTATATAAAAACCCAAGTATACCCGAGAATGGCGATATATACTCATTCTTTCCAGGGTCTCCGAAATCCTGAGCTTTGGATATACCTGGCTCCATGGCATTTGCTATATTTTACCACAGTAGTGTAGACGCTATGTCCTGCTCCATGAATCGTCTATTAATCCGAACTTCGTGTCTCCCGCCACCGAGAGGATGCTTCTGGGAGATCCACCAGAATACGGCCGGAGGGGTGAATTGTGGCACATTCAGGATTGTTCTGACCGTGACTGGATTTTGTGTACCATGGCTGATGGGGAAGTAGTATGGGCGCCTCCAATATAATTTCTGCATACCATAAGCTCAACGCAAGCCTACCTAGGTATACCTCCCATATGGGAAGATTGAATGTGCCTTGGGCCTATGCAAGAGAATCACCCGGACATAATCAAGGCTTCCAACGACGAAATCAGGACATAAAGAACAGCAGTAGCGCTCTTTGGGCTGCTATGCTGCGGCGATATATGGATAACCAGGGATTCTGGGACTGTCTGAGAGCAGATATTGACGTGTCGCATGAATGTCAAGCAACGAGACTTCCCACTAGTCATTCTGTGCACGAGACGGATAGATTCCTCACAGACTATGGCAACATGCCTGATATCCGGTATTGTTCAAAGAATGGCAAATATAAAGTGAGTGTATCCATTGTAATCCAAGTATTTCAGCGCTCATGTCTCTAAATTCCATATCCGAAGACATTGAGACGTGTAGCTCTCGACTCACACCATAGAAGTAAGCAAGATACGCTGGGCCATGATTGGCCTCTGCTAGAAATCTCGGGCGGATCTGAGAATAAAGAAAGAGGAACCTCATGAATATCAATTCATCGAGATTGTCCTATCCACAATCCACAAGCTCTTGCCTAGATGCCGATCCCACTGAGTTAGCCCGTGTCATATGACAAACAAAAGCGACCCATCGCTTGTCTCGGCAGAGGCGATAACTTTGCTTTCTCTTACCTAAGTTAAAGCGGTTAACCAGATAATCTCCGTGATCTAGCCCTGGAGTGGCCATGAGAAGGTCAATCATAGAAGGATTGTGGGGGTTCCGAGGTAGTCTTGGCGGCCTGTTTTGTCAGGCCTGCATCCGAGTAGCCCGAACTTTGTTTGCCCGGCCAGCCACAGCATGTTATGGTTTTCTTATTCTGCATATTGTGCGTCATATCTGGAAAGAGACATGTTTCAGATTTCCATAGTCTCCCACTAAATCCCAAACCTAGCCCAGATTGTCCCTGGGGCTGAAAAAGACCGAATAGAACCGACGCTAAGCAAGTGGAGCGGACGGAGTAAAGGCCAATTTTTCCTGTATGTTGTACAACATTGTACGTTGTTAAGAAGTATGTGGAAAGTCATCAAACTGCTTACTATGGATAGTTTAATTGGAGAGATCGGCTGGACGAGTTGAATGGGGCCTATGTGCGCCCAATAGGAAAGTGGAAGCCGAAATTCTTTTTTTCGATGATCAGACTAGCGTCCTGCGCAAGGCTCAGGCAATTCATTCCCATCATTTTTGATTGGTATGTTCAGCATCGTCGGGTCCAGTATGGAGTAATGGTGCAGCAGTTCCGGTGGTGCCTGGCGGGATTTTCCTTATGCGGCAAACACCGTTAAAACAACTTCCCCTCGTGTCCATTGTTGGGGTGCAAGCCTTTCCTCGGAGAAACCCCGAGGCTGAACGGGGGTAGCTTGATTAGGCAATAGTCTCAATCCACCTGGGCACAGCTGTAATGGGAGGAGGTCAAAGACCAAGAGAAAGAGAGAGAAACAGGGTGAGTGAGAGAGAAAAGTACGAAAAGGAGATATGGTCTAGACCTTAACCTCGGCTTAGTTACCATGTTGGTCGACGCCCTGGAAGGTCATAGCTATGGTCCCGTGCTATTATTCCCAGGAAATCTTTTTATCCTTTCGTACTTCGTACTGCGTACACCCCTAGTAGGTACTCTATACTCCGTAGGTACTCCGTACATGTAGCTCACTGCCTCACATCCCTTGCTCCATTACCAGGAACAAGATTAGTTATACAAATTGAATCAAACATCCATGGCTCCTTTGTCTTCGGCCCCACTGGACGGGAACAACCGTTGACCCGCCTCGAACCTTGGAAACGGATATGGATTTCATTGTTGGAGACATTGTATACAATATAAATAGTACCTGGTAGAATGAAAGAGAAACAAAATGCTCCGGACGGAGTACGGAGTAAGGGCAGGGATCTCGATGCGACGTCAAGACGAAAAGGGGAGTTCAGCGCGTTCCCCATATTTTACGCTAGATCATCCGTATACATTGCCTGACTCGTTAGCGTGACATACCGTCATCGAGCGATTGGCTCATATCGTTGGTCCACCCCGTCAGATCAATGGACTTGCATAGTCGATCTTAATGAGCATTGAGAAATTAAAACGAACTAAAAAAAAAAAAATTTAATTGACCT